CACGCAAATCAACGTCAAACGCAGCAAAATATTCTACCCCCCAACCGTCTTCTCTGTGCACTACCCACACTCAACACGTCCCCTCATACAGCCTGTCAGCACCCACCCCTACAGCTCAGCTCTCTATACACAGCAAGCGCTTGACGAACTTCCTGCACAGCCACCAGCCTCGCTTTCCCCCGTCCTCCGCCCTACGCACACAGGACAAATCCAAATATCTAAACCACAAGCTCCGTAGGCCCCACAATCCCAACCGCCACAACCCGCCAACCAACCCTAACGCACTCTCTGCAACTCCTCCATGCCTGCTCTGTCCTCGTCCTCTTCGTCTCCATGATGCATGCATACCCATTGCCTGGGCGCTATACCGCAGTCCGGCACCGCCCCCATACCTACGAGCCTACGGTCTTCCACATACCTCTCTACCAACCCCATCCCACGCAAATCAACCTCAAACGCAGCAAAATATTCTACCCGCCAACCGTCTTCTCTGTGCACTACCCACACCCACCACGCCCCCTCCTACAGCCCGTCAGCAGCTACCCCTATAGCTCAGCTGTCTAGACATAGCAAGCGCATGACGAACTTCCTGCACAGCCAACAACCTCGCGGCCCCCCGTCCTTCGCCTTACACACACAGGACACATCGAAATCTCTAAATCATAAGCTCCGTAGGCGCCGCAAACCCAACCGCCGCAAGCCGTCAACCAACCCTAACGCACTCTCTGCAACTCCTCCACGCCTGCTCTGTCCTCGTCCTGTTCGTCTCCATAATACGTGCATACGCATTGCCTGGCCGCTATACCGCAACCCGGCACCACCCGCATAACTACGAGCTTACTGCATTCCGCATGCCTCTCCACACCCCATCCCAGACAAATCAGCGTGAAACGCCTCCAACCAGTCTACCCCCAAACCCCCTTCACACTACCCATCATCAGCGCACACCGCATACGGCCCCACAGCAAGCTTCCCTGCAGCTCAGCTGTCTACATAGCAAGCGCTTGACGAACTTCCTGCATAGGCAACAACCTCGCTACCCCCCGTCCTCCGCCTTACCCACACAGGACAAACCGAGATATCTATACCACAAGCTCTGTAGGCCCCACAATCCCAACCGCAAGAACCCGCCGAATCACCCTAACGCACTCTCTGCAACTCCTGCATGCCTGCTCTGCCCTCCGCCGGTTCGCCTACATATCACATGCATACGCATTGCCTGGCCGCTATACCGCAGTCTGGCGTCGCCTACATACCTACGAGCTTCCTGTCCTGCAGGTGCCTCTTCCCTGACCCCAGTCCGCACAACTCAACGCCGATCGTCGCCAACCAGCCTACCCCCAAACCCCCTTCTCTGCATACTACACGCCACCACCACATCCTCTCCATACCACCCGGCAGCATGCATCCCTCCAGCTCAGCTGTCTACTTAGCACGCGCTTAACGAACTTCCTGCACAGACAACCTCGCTCCCTACCTTCGTCCTCGTCAACGCACCCAGGACAAGACGAAACATCTGAACCACAAGCTCCGTAGGCGCCACGATCCCAACCGCAACAACCCGTCGAACCACCCTAACGCACTCTCTGCAATTCCTGCACTCCTGCTCTGCCCTCGCCCTGTTCGTCTACATATCGCGTGCACACACATTAAGTGGCCTCTATGCCTCACTACGGCGCCGCCTGCATACCTGCAAGGTTCCTGTCTTGTACACGTCTCTCCCCTGTCCCCACCCCACACAAATCAACGTCAAATGCCTCCAACCAGCCTACGCCCCAGACCTTCTTCTCTGCACGCTACACGCCACCACCGCATGCTCTCCATACCACCCGTCTGCAAGCATCCTTCCAGCTCAGCTGTCTACTTGGCACGCGCTTGACGAACTTCCTGCACAGCGAACAACCGCTCTCCCTACCTTCCTCTTCCTTACGAACACAGGACAAAGCGAAACCGCTATGCCACAAGTTCCCTCGGCACCTCAGACCCAGCCGGCCCGACCCGCCGAACCACCCTAACGCACTCTCTGCAACTCCTGCACGCCTGCCCTGCCTTCGCCCTGTTCGCCTACATATCACGCGCACATGCAATTCCTGGCGAATATCGTACAGCGCGGCACCGCCCGCAGAACTGCGAGAATCCCGTCTTGCACACACCTCTCCCCTTACCCCATCCCAGACAAATCAACGTCACACGCCGCCAACCAGTCCACGCCCAACCATCCTCTGCATACTACCCCCCACCACCCCATCTCCCCCGTCAGCACGCACCCCTCCAGCTCAGCTGTCTGCTAAGCAAGCGCTTGACGAACTTCCTGCACATACAACAACCTCGTTCTCTACATTTTCCTTACGCACGCAATACAACCCGAAATCTCTAAGTCACAAGCTCCGTAGGCGCCACAAACCCGACCGCCACAACCTGCCAAACCACCCTAACGCACTATCTGCAACTCCTGCACGGCTGCTCTGCCCTCGTCCTGTTCGTCTCCATATTACATGCATGCGCATTGTTTGGCTGCTATACCGCAGCCCGGCACCGCCTGCATACCTACGATCTTCCTGCATTCCCCATGCCTCTCCACTGACCCCATCCCACACATTTAACGTCAAACGCTGCCAACCGGTCTACCCCCAAGCCGTCTTCTCTGTGCGCTACCCACACCCACCACGTCCCCCCCTTAGAGACCGTAAGCACGCAGCCATCCAGCTCTGCTGTCTACATAGCAAGCGCTTGACGAACTTCCTGCACAGACAACAACCTCGCTCCCTACAGTCCTCTTCCTTACGCACACAGGACAAACCGAAATATCTGTAGCACAAGCTCTGTGGGCGCCACAAACCCACCCGCCAAAACCCGTCAAACAACCCTAACGCACTCTCTGCAACTCCTGCACGCTTGCTCTGCCGTTGACCTGTTCGTCTACATACCACGTGCCCACCCATTCCCTGGCCAATATCCCGCAGTCCCGCAAGGCACCCATATATATATATATATATATATATATATATATATATATATATATAT